TTGCTATCGTCAAGAAGCATTTTAAGGTGAAGATGAATACAAAATATGTCCTGATGTAATCAAATGGAATGAAGTCCTCCTTCAGAATAGCAATACAAGTGAATTGTTGCTATCGTCAAGAAGCATTTTAAGGTGAAGATGAATACAAAATATGTCCTGATGTAGTCAAATGGAATGAAGTCCTTCTTCAGAATAGAAATACAAGTGAATTGTTGCTATCGTCAAGAAGCATTTTAAGGTGAAGATGAATGAAAAAGAAATCTGATGTAATATTAATGGTAATATTACCTGTTTCCTTATAAAATAATATTCGGCATTCATTGACTGAGCACTCAATGTTACTATCTGATGAAATTTATAAAATCTTTATCTCTATGAAATAGGTTTCTCAAATCCATTAGCTGTTATCAATCTCTCCAGTATTGATGGGTGTATCCTTCTTAAAATTTATTATTTTCTCTTCAAGTTACGTGTGCTTCAGGCCATATCACTTTGGAACAACGGTTATCATTTGATCACCGAAATTAAGCAACATCAAACCTGGTCGGTACCTAGATAGTTGACCGCATGGGAATAACAGGTGCTGCATGCTTGGAGGTGCGGGTGGTGTAATAGATAATGTCTCAGAATGAGAAATCGGAGAGCCAAGTTCGAATTCCAGTCGGGTTCGTTATATTCACATACTTGTAACTACCCTTGGGATAGGCATGAATTCTCCTCTGCTCCTCCTAGCTATGGGTTAAATAGTAAGATTTGTATCGGGAAAGTATTATTATCTCCAAAAAATTCTTACAATCTCAAAACATGTTCCGTTTAAAAAGATAAAAAGGTTGATAAACCGTAAAAAAGAAATCAATCCATCGAGTTACATGTGATATCCATTTTAGTCGATTGCTTCTATTGAAAGTCTTCAAGAACTTAACTGATGTTTCTGTTATCTGGTACAGTGCTTTGCTTGTGATTTTGTAGCGCCAGTTCACAAGATTCGAAGAAAGATGGTTTTCACCAAGATCCATAATTTTCATGCGCTGAAAGGCCATTTTTAATAATTGATCTGAGAAAGCATCTATATGCATGACAGTTTAGATATTTCTGAACGGGTTGAGAGTCATAAGTTATCCTTCAGAATGACAATACAAGTTCTTTTTGTTATGGTCAAGAACATATAGACGGTAAGGATATGTGCCAAAAAACTGTCCCGAGATAATCAAATGAAATAGTTTCTTTCTTTAGTTCATTCTTGTTATAGCGAAGAACAAGTTTAAAGTAAAGATTTACGCAAAAATATCCCTATTTAGTCAAATGAAAGAGAGACTTTCTTCAGAATGACAATGCACTCATTAAAATAAACTTTCAGTTAGAAATATCTTGCTGCATCATTCTAGCTCAGGTGCCTCATCACCTTTTAATTTCCAATTAATCTGTAATCGGAAACAATGCAGGTACGTCGAACCCGTGGCCGGCACTACGTCGCACTTAAATATTTACATGCGGCTGACTGCACCCTAAAATCTTTAGGTATATTTTCATTTACTTTAGTAACGTATATCGAAAAAAATTAATCTCAGATTGCGCTAGTAGGTTCACTGTCCCATTGCACTAAAAGAAGAAAGGGGCAATGGTTTTTGCCGAGACACACCGGTTTGTGTGGGGTGCGTGGGGGGGGGCAAGAGACAGAACTAAACAAAAATTATTTAGCTTATCTAGAAAACTGTTATGCATGTGGAGTTGTATATACTGCTTTGAACAATTCTTTTCGTGCATGGAAAACAACAAAGATGTTGAAAGAAACAAGTTGATTGATTCCCATTTAACTAACACTAGCAGTAGAGCCCGGCGTTGCCCGGGGATGTAACAGTAAGAGATAGATCAAGTATCGACCATCATAAAGACTGAAAAATAAAATTGACAAAGATTATTGTTTAAGGTTGACGGAGACGCATGTCTTAATTAGTTTTTTTTCTTTTTTGTTTTTTTTTTTTTTTTTACAAATTGGTCAAACCCAAACTCAAAAAACAAAAACATTTTCAATCGTTATGAGTCTATCGATTGAATAGAATTTTATTATAAACAATTGTCTTGTAAATGGAATTTTTAAAGCATTCTGAATGTAAAATAAAGAAAATAGTGTGCAAGACAATAAGAAACACTACCTGCCAAAAAAAAAAGAAGTTTGTTGAAATCGGTTGAAAATGTAGAAATCCGATCCCATATATAAACGAACACACACACACAAAACAACCTGGGTTTTATAATAAGTATAACTCGATATGAGTTGTCCCCCCTTTCATTTTGGCGACAGAATCGTGTTTTATCGTGTTTTCAAATTGATTTCGTGCAAAAACTATTGTGTCTTTCCAATTTTTGGCGCTGTCAGAACCACAGCAAGGTAATTTTACGTAGTCCTGTGAAGTTTTGTTGAAATCTGTTGAAAAATGTAGGAAATCCGATCCAATATATAAACGTACAGACACACACACACACACACACACACACACACACACACAACCTGTGTTTTATAATAAGTAAGATTCTTAGAATTAAGACTCGTAACATAAAAGAAGATATTGACAATACTATAAAAGGAAAGCAATGTCAAAATCACACTGAATTTATTATATCTTTGTGTACGTATAATTTCTTTTTTTTTTATTACTATCAATGATACAGTACCCCTTTGTGCAAATTAACTAAAACTAAACGAATAATACCGTTATTTTTTTTTTTTTTTTTTTGTATTTTTCCAATGAAACATGACAAGGTGCACACGTTAGTACTTCGTATGTCCATTCCACGAAGTCGTTCCTTGCAGATTAACCACAGATTCTCGATTGGGTTTAAATCAGGAGAGTTTCCGGGCCAATCTATAGTACTTTGATTTACTCACTGTTAAGGCTTGCCAGTGTGTTCCTGCAGCGTTAGAATGTTCGTACGCTTCCTTGAAGTAACATCCATCGCAGACAATGGCCCTAGGACAAAAAATCGACAGTCGAGACAATAGTGTCTGGGCGTGATAAAAATCTGATGCAATCACGGATGACGCAATATTTTTCAAGGTCAAAAAAATTTCAACATACACCCCGAAAACAGATTCATATTACTGCACACCACTGCAAATAACCTGAGGAAAAATAGGAATCGATTGCACCCTGTCATTCCAGTGGGCATAAAACTGACCGTATGATGAAAGAAAGGAAAAATAAAGCGATTGTTTCAGTTAATTTGCACAAGGGTGTATGTTCGTAATTATATATATTTGTTATTAAAATTTGATATTCACAACGTTTTGAACTTTTAAAATAAATTGCTTGTAGTCCGGTGAATATACCTAAATTTTTAATTTGGCTCATCAGGAAAAAAGTTTAGACAACCCTGCAACTTTTAAAATTACAAAAGAGACTCCTTACATACAGAGGCAACCCATAGCGCCTTATTGGTCTCTCGTTTGCCACTGACATGTAATGGAGGGATGATATTGAATTAATTTGCAAGGAAAATTGGTTCACTGCGTCGGACCAGACAATCTTTTCTCGTCAGAATGCATCTTAAACACTTAAAAATCTACCCTTCGTCCTTGCATTGAATATTTGCGGCCTCACGTGATCTGATACACCCACTATGTATCTCTAGATTCTCAACGAAATTCAAAGAAATATCTGTAATGTTATCGGTCATGACTTGGCATCTCGACCTCGTGATATAAAAAAAAAGTATGGAACGACAATTGTCATAAGAATATAATAATCATTAATAACATCGACAATAACCATGGATATTTATAGGTATAGTATTGGTCCACGATTTGAATATTGCTGCCACATATCGTCTGGTCTGACTGCTATATATTTAGAGATCTGCCATGTCATTGGTCCTGACCTGGCATCTCGACTTCAGTACTTTTCTCCTGCCGTAGCGTAGCTTCCCTGTTTCTTTTCTATACTTCCATTGTAATTATTCTGATGAATTTTCCCCCGTGGTACCTAGATTTTGTGAATTTGAACGCAGTAATAAATTGGCGGCAAAAGCTCACCATTTAATAGCTGGAATGGCTAGATCTAACCGTAAGTTCTATGCTAATAGTTTCTTCTTTCTAATTTCTCGCTTTGTAGAACTGTCTTCCGGCTTTTTACTTTCTGGTCACGTATGATTTTCCAAAATTTTAATGCAATATCAATCGTTTTCTACTGTCTTCTTAATAATATTTTTCTTTTCTTATATTCTTTCAAACTCATAATCAATGCGTCTTAGTGGCTTTGTTGCCTTGTTTGGGGTGAAATAATTACCAAAAATATTACTTTTATTTCTTGAACCCCCCCCCCCCCAAAAAAAAAACGGAATTTTCTGCAGACACCTATATCAACATAAAACCGCATTTTCTTGAGGGTTGGTGGGGGGGCTGGCGGTGGAAAGAAAATATATTTCGGTAGTCCAGCTCATATTGCGGAAATCACCTTCAAGTCAAGGAAGCCTTGGATTATGTCGGATTAAAAATATCCTCTTTTACATATACATATTAGGCGTGTATATATATATATATATATATTATATATATATATATACTAGGCAATGGACAAAATCCAACAATTATTTTAATAAATTTTATTGTTATACGTTATTTATATAGACACAAATATTTAAGTAAATGATCTGTTTATAATAAACAGTATCAAAAACATTTACCAATCTGAACGTCCCAAAAATTACATAGAAGATATGCATCCTCCGACAGGAATCGAATATGTCTCCTACACGCAACCGTCATATAAGCCTGGCGTGCTATACTAGTTTAGCAAGGTCGATTTTACTACTTTTAAACTACAATTTTCCATGATTTCCCACAAACGATTATATCTGTTCGAAGTGTATCTAAACGTAAAAAAAAATGACAACACACTCTAGGTTTAGCCCTGTGTATTATAAACATAGCATTTACTTAAATATTTGTGTCTATATAAATAGCGTATAGCAATATATATATATATATATATATATATATATACAGAGAGAGAGAGAGAGAGAGAGAGAGAGAGAGAGAGAGAGAGAGAGAGCATTAAGTCTAACGCAAACATTACAGCATTAAATAATTATTATAACCAAAGTTCGCTGTCAAGTTTTTTGAATTCTCATATACTTGTATTTTGATTGGTCATTCCAGCTGATGTAACAGCGTTTCCCTTAGCGAGGGGTATTTGATTGATTTGAACCTTTTAAAACCCTTTATTATACATTCAACACCATCACTTGATAAGACACCAGAAGTATTCAAACAAAATAGCTATTTTTGTAGTGATTTTATAACATATTTATGTTATAATTTTCTAATAAATAGTTATATATATATATATATATATATATATATATATATATATATATATATATATATATATATTAGTAGATGCTGGTGTTTGTGCAGACGCCCCGTTTATTTGGAAAAAAATTACATGTATTTATTTTCACCTACCGGCTTGAATATTCGTGTACCTGAGCAGAGGAACCGTCCTTCGGTCCAACGTGCTCCAGGCCCACCAGGCAAGGCTGGATTGTGCCTCTAATCGAAAATACTCTCGTTATAGACTCTCGAAATGTTTACAGCTTTTTAGTATCGTATCCAAACGTAAACAAAGCAATATTGTAAAGAAGTAGAGGATTTTTTTTTATTAATCCAACATATTTTATCACTTTTAATGGTTACTCGTACTTACGAGTAGACGTCCTGTTTATTTATTAAATATTCAGGCCGATGGACGCAAATAAATAAATATACTGTTTAATATATAAACGGAGCGTCTAACAATAGCATTTAAAGTGATATAAATATATATTTCAAAAATTGCATATATATATATATATATTTCAAAAGTTGCATATCTATCTATCTATCTATCTATCTATATATATATATATATATATATATATATATTTCAAAAATTGCATATCTCTATATATATATTTCAAAAATTGCACATATATATATATATTTCAAAATTGCATATCTATCTATCTATCTATCTATCTATCTATATATATATATATTTTTCAAAA